CCCTGGGGGGGCACAGCCGGGTTGTTCCTGCCCATCCCAGCAGCGTGAGCGGGGTGGGCATCCCCAGGGGATGCGATCCAGCCGCCCATGCTGCCGCGGGACAGAGTGACCTTGGGGGGACACACAGCACCCCCCCTGCTCCAGCCCCAGGGGTGGCCAGGAGCAAGCGTGTGTCCCCGCTCCCTCCCCTCTCGTCTCGCTGCCTTTCCCCTCGACCGCCCGATAGCAACCCGCCCCTTGACGTTGCAGGGTTTTCCTTGACACAAACCCTCCCGAAAGCAGCTCCTTCGCTCGTCTCGCACCCGCTTTCCGCACGATGACGACAGCCGTTTTCCCAACCGGGGTCCCTGGGGTAACCTTGCCCGGCGTCCCGGCCCGCGCGCTCAGAACTGGCACAACCTGTGCTGGGGCCAGAGCAATGCCAAGGCCCTGCTCTGGGCGAAGGCTATTTACAGTAAAAATAAACACAACCTACAACACGCAGCAAGGTGCGAGTGCCAGGCAAATAAGCAGTTCCCATTAGCTCAGTGGCGGAGGGCGCGTGCCTGCTCCCGGTGCGCTCGATCGCTTGCGCAAACAGCCCGGAGCTCCCAGTTCAGACGGTAGTTTTCTGGGGAGAAAAGCATTTTATTCCTCTTTTCTATATAATTTTTTAAATTAAAATAGCAGTCACGGGTCAACAGAAGGGTTGCAGACCTGGGAATGTTTCTTGAAAGAGCTCAGCTGAAACAAGCTCCTTAATTATGCCGTAAATTAAAATAGATTTTCTTAGCATGGGGTTTTCTGGGGCAGGTTTAGGAATGTGCCTGTTGGTAGCAAGGGAGGTTTGAGCGCCTTTACACCGAGATGGCAGCATCCCAACGGCTAAAGGTGACGCCGACTGGCGACGGGGTGTAGGCAAAGCTTTAGGGCTGGAAGCGGACGAAATGGGTCAGTTCCTTGGCTCCAAGGGCCCTTGAGTATCAGCTGATTTCTGCTCCAGAGCTGCTTTGTTGTGACTGAGGGGCTCAGCGTAAGGGGACTCTCTAGCAGGGGTTTCCTCCTCGTAGCAGCCTTACACCTCTTCCACTTCACACCCTAACTTTTTCCCTAACACATGATTTTTAAACCAAATTCCAGACTGTCAATTTTCTTTCTTCTTGCCTTGCAATGGAGGGCAATAGAGGAAACCCAGAGCAGTCGGAAATCACCCCTCATCCCAAATCCTGGCATTTCTTGGGTGCGTTACCAACCGTCCTGCCTGAGACAACAGCTGCATCTGGACCCGGCAGCCCAGGAGCGACACCTCGGGGCACCGAGCAGGGCGCTGCGTGCCGGGCACCTGCTAAGGCATCGCCATGCGGATCAGCTGCGAACACTGTTACTAAACTTGGCACCGCAGCTGCCTACGGCTTCGGCAGATGTTTCTAATTTTTAGCACAGTGGAAATTTCTTGAATCACTTTTAAACTCAATTCCCAGGGAGGAAACCTCGGGTGACTCATCAGCCTTTGGCTCCACGCAGATTCGGTCTGACCGGCCGCCTGAACTGTCCGGCTCACTTGTCTTCTCGCTCCCGTGTGCCAAAGCAGTGTCCTGTGCGGATCAAGTGTCCTACATACCGAAAGGGAGAGATTCAACCCACCCTGCCCTTCCTTCCCTTCCTCCTCACCCCCATTCCCGGTGCCTGGACTGCTGTTGTTAGGGAAGGGAGCTCTGCGCAGCGGGGTGAGTCAGCGGCGGAGACGGACGGGGAGCGATGTTCCAGCACCTCACCTCCCCGTGCGTGAGCTCACCCTCCGCCTGGGGCTGAGCAGCTGGAGCCCTTGGATGTCCCTGCCACGCGCTGAGCCCTGGGCACCGGGGAGATTGGTGTCTTGCTGGCAGCGGGCAGTGGTGGGGGACGTAGAGCACCTGAGACCCTCCCAGCTCTGAAATACTCTGCCCCGCTCTGCTGAAAGCCCCCACAACTTCCTGATCCCTTTCTTCCAGCAGAATTGTCATGGAATCACAGCCTGGTTTGGGTTGGAAGGGACCTTAAAGCCCCCCCAGCCCCACCCCCTGCCATGGGCAGGGACACCTTCCATAGCCCAGGTTGCTCCAAGCCTCATCCAGCCTGGCCTTGGACACTCCCAGGGATGGGGAGGTAAATTCCCAGGGCCAGGAAGGCACAAGACAGATGCTGGTTTCCCGGTGCCCTTTTGCCGTCATCCCACCCTTCCGCAAGCAGAACACGGCTGGTTGCTCAGAGTTCAGGGGTTAAATGGTGTCCCTGAGTGTGCACAGGGGTGGGACGTGGTCTGGGAACGGGTCTCCCAGAGCAGGTTTTCCCTGCCGCGGGCTGACGGGCACTTTTCTGTTCTCTCTCAGGTTCTGCTTCACCCCAACAGTGGGGCAGCCGGGAAGGTCGGCGAGATAGAGACGCTTCGGCTGGCTCAGTACAAGGCGTTTTACACCACAGGTACCGTGTCCCTTTGAGAGACCATCGAGTCTGGGAAAAAACTTCTGGAATTCTTGGCTCTCTGCAGTTACGGGTGAAAACCAACTCAGGTTAAGTCAGGAAGAGCAAACCTCACAAGGATGAGCTCCCGTGTCCGTGCAATGGGCTCTGCGGGGCTGTGGCCTTGGAAGCACTCTCGGACTCGCAGCAGGACCCAGGCCCCCAGAGCCGGGATGTGCTGGGACCGGTCCCTCGCAGATGGGTGGGGAGTACAGAGCTGATCCCTGGGCCTCCCGTGTTTTTCTCTCGTTTCCTCCCTAGGAGGGGCGATGGCTTGTGACGGGAGCATTGGGCCAGCTGAGCATCACCAGCCACCCCTCATTTTCAATCTGGATCGCGATATCCAGGAGCAGGAGCCTTTGGACGTGGCATCCCGGGAGTATCAGGCAGTGCTGCCTGCCGTCAGCAGGGCTTACGCCCAAGCTCTGGAGGACATCGCAACGGACAACGTCTCGGTGGCAGATTACTCCACAGACCCGGCAGCAACTCCCTGCTG